AATATACCCGAATAGGGTCGGGTTCGGGTTGACCCGAACCCAAAGCGGGTCGGGTTCAGGTCAGGTTGAACAGTATCGGGTCAATTTCGGGTTGGACCCGAACCCGACCCGTGACCCGGTTTTGACAGCCCTACTCCAAGGAATGTATAGCATCCTGAGGTAGATCATCTATTTATTGGTGATCCTGCGTAATCTGCATCAATATGTTTCGTGGGGTTATTCCACAATCTCTTCTGAAGAGAATCTCTTTACTTGGGTTGCCCTTAAGATAGTGTGGTATTTTGTCTATAGTTTGCATGTGTTGCCGGAGGCACTATCCAAACATCCCAATCTAGGCAATTTTTTAAGATAAGTTGCCTAAAAGGCCAAAGTGGCACATCACCTTAACACCAAAGGCACTAGCAACGCAAGGAATGTCTTACTCCTACTCCTCATCCTCCCCCAAAATTTTTTGAAGTTATTGGTGTCAATCTACGAGACCTAAATTTGGCAATTTTAATTCCTTTCTAGGCTGCTGCTCCTTTTTTCTTTCCTTTCGCTTTGATGCACCCCCGAGAGTAAAATCAAATGATCATGGTTTCTACTAAAAAATTCATTTAAGGAATTGAATTTCATTTACAAGAGCTAAAAAAGTGTTAAGCTGTACAGTTTAAGATCATAAATTTGATTTTGAAAGTTAAAAAACGCAATCTTAAACACTTTTTGCAGAAATTGACCGCTTGAGGCAACTTAATGAACCACAGTTTTCTAGATAAATGATGTAAACAACGCAGGAAAAAGAAACTGATGTTCTTGATGAAAATTAAGTTTAGTATCTATTGATTAACCAAAGATCTCTTTGCAATGTGATTTAACTTCAGAATTGAGGAATTGAACTGGATTTTCTTTTACCTTGCTGCATAGTGTAGATTCAAGTTACTACGATCTAATCTCATCCCCAAACCAGGGATTTTGTTATTGATTTTCAAGTAAATAGCTTCATCTGGCTGCACCCTAATGACAAGCTCATTTGTAGCTCGATCAAGATCTGTACCAAAACTCCTCTTGTATAAGTTTCCAGGAACATGCCTGAATTGTACTCTGATCTCTGCTCTGCACACAAAAGAACATTCAACTTCATATACAACAGTAGCAAAAGATTAAGGTTTCATTTGGGACAGTTTTCTTACTGCTTCTTAAAGCAGTTTTTTGATACAAAATTTTTGTTTTGTTGTACTAAAAAGCTATTTTAAGAAGCAGTAAAAAAGCCATCCCAAACGAAACCTAAAACAAAAAAAGGCCTAGTCAAGATAATCAACATACCGTTGAGTGTGCAATGCCTTGCCTGCTTTCATAAGAAAGGGCACCCCATCCCATCTTGCATTATTAATAAATAGTGCGGCGGCTGCGAATGTCGGTGTAAGACTTCCCTTGGGTACTGTCTTATCATCTGTATATGCTGGATAAGTAATCCCACCTTTTGTATGGCTCTTGTACTGTCCAATTACAATGTCATCCAACTGCAGTGGCTTCATGGAGCGAAGGACTTTCACCTAAAATGAATAAAAAATAGTGACAACACTTCCCAAACAATCAATTACTAGATTACTATGACCAGCCAATGATTAAAAAATATCAGCAGTACAGAGTATGAACCTTTTCATTTCTAATGTCCTCTGCATCTAGGCTGACAGGTGTTTCCATGGCAAACAAAGCCAGTATTTGGAGAAGATGATTTTGCATTATGTCTCTGATGATACCATAGTTATCAAAGTATCTGCACAAGCACTTGGCAAAAGGGTCCATCATTTTCACAAATGTAATCAAAAGGGCCAACTTAACATTAAATAACTCCTACCCTCCTCGACCTTCGGTCCCAAAATCCTCAGAAAAAATCAATTGTACATTTCGGATGTACTGCCTTGACCACAAAGGTTCAAACACCAAATTTGAAAATCGGAGAACAGACAGGTTTTCAACAAGTTCTTTTCCAAGGTAGTGATCAATTCTGAAACACGAAAAATGCCATTATTAGAGCAAACCTTAAAAGTTGCAAGAGGAAAGAGTAAACATACAATTGACTAATAAATATTACCTGAAAATTTGATCTTCCTTCAAATACTGTTTAAGGTTTCTTGTCAATGTAGCAGAAGATTCAGAGTCACGTCCGAAGGGTTTTTCGACAATTACCCGTGTCCAGCCATTCAAAGAAGATGCTGACTTACTGGCACATTTCACCACATCAACGAATATATTTGGAGGTATAGATAGATAGAACAAGCGATTTGAGATCCTCCCAGCCTGTGTATAACTAGAACAATAAGAAATTCATTCATGGTTCATGGTTCTCATCACTTATTCACTCATGAGATTTTCAAGCTATCAGGGAAAAACGCATCTATAATATTTGTGTTTGGAAATGAATTTCACTTCACTTCACCAATTCCAGTCTTCAGTGACTTAATTTTGAATGATAAAAAAGGGTAAGTTCACAGATCATAATCTAGAATCTAAATATATTTGCTATTTGTATTACTTAGATTTCAAGTGTAAAGTTGTTATCATCAAGAGTTAAGTGCAGCATAACCAATGAATTGATGGTGATAATCTGAAATTCGAACAAGCTAAATCAAACATTGCAACGTAATACAAATTTTAATTATCTAAATCATCACAAGGTCCTATGGTTATCCATTAATTGCATATTTTATAATACGTGAACTTGTAAAGTTGCCTTTTATTGATATGTGCAACATTAGGGGAAACCCCAAAACTGCTAAAGAACAGTTTTCACAATCAAATGCACAAAGGTGCACCAGCCAAGAAAACTTGAATTTCAGCCTACATAAAAATGGGCATATTCAAGCTTTTTGAATCACATGGATGAAAATGTATGATCAACTAAAATGCTCCAGACTAGGGGAGTAAGTGAGCCAAGTCAACTCATGAGTTAACTTACAAATAGCTCATGAGCTAACAAGCCAAGCTTGGACCAGCGTTGACTTGACTTGTTAGCTCATGAGCCGACTAGTTTAAGAAATATTAATGTAAAACTATACTTAGAAGATATTAGCATTTAGGAGTTTAAATAAAAAGTTAATAAAATATTTAAAAATCATATCTTGCTTTTTTTATTGAATGATTATTGATTATTTTTCTTATAATTTTTCATTCTTTTAACTATTTATTATAATAATTATTTGAATCAAAATCATTTTTTCTTTAATTAAAAATATGCAGGCTAATGAACCGATTTAAACTCATAGAATTAAACTCGAGCTCAAGATTAAACTCGATTAATTAATCAAGCTCAAGCTAAAGCTAGGGGTGACTCGAGTTTGGCTCGACTCATTTACATCACTACTTACAGAATATTTTCCCTTTCTCCAAAAATGTTTCCATCATTGAACATCCACACGTGGTAAAATTCTTCAACCTACAATATTAAATAGGTCATGGCTCTTCCTGCTATTAAAACCGACCAAGAAGCTTCCACTAAGTATTAAATACCAAATTCTTCAATGATTCATACAAATCAAGAAATTGCTATCCTACGCAACTATCAATCTTTTTGTTTTGGTTAGGACTTATTTTATGGTTTAGACTTGCAGCAGCCTAACCATGGGCTGATCAAATAACGCACAAATGGCATACATCCAAGTACTCACCCTTAAGAAAAGAAACCTAAATTTGTTCTCTTCATCAATGTGCTAAGTATTTTCGTCTTCCCTAAAACACGCTTCCTTGCCTTTTAACCATTGTTCGGCACCGTACACCTTTGATTACTCTTTGTAGCCACTGATGGTTATTTTTGCCTCATCTACAACACACTCCCTACCTTATTACCACTCTTCACAACCACACAACCTCAATTCTTTTAGCTGCTAGTATCTTGCCACCCACTAACATCATAATCCATTACTACTCATCCAACTCTCATTGCCATTATGTTACAGTCTGCAAGCCCATCCACCCATTGCCACTACTAGTTCCTCAATGCCATTGTTGTTGGGTGCTACCTAGTTCAATGGCATTCTTAGTTAATATAAGAAGTTTAGAGGTGAATTTTGGGAGGGATAAGAAAGAATTCCTAGAACCTTTAACTGGTGTTAGCTAGGGTAGTAATTTTAAAAGATCTACAATTTCTGGGTGATAAGTAAGTTTGTGATCCCTCTGACCCTATTCTTGATCCAATGTGGAGACAAGAAATGTTTTTTATGCCCTTCATGTCTCTTTTAGGAATAACGAGGGTTGGAGTATCTCAGGAGGCACAATATTATTGAAATAAATGACTGGCATGTTTTTGGTGTTACAAAAAATAGTGTTAGTACGTAATCATTACAATATACAAAAGAACCGTAATTCTATTAGTACTTTTAAACAACAATTGGGCTTCATTTTGTAATGCTATGTTGTTACGATTTTGTGTTGTTTGGTACAAAATTTAAGTCGCTACATTAACAAAGAAGGGCAAACTGCTCTACATAGGTGCTGCCATGATCATTAAGTATGGAGGAAGAACATGTACAGTATAGCGATTGATTCCCACATTTTCCACGTAAATCAAAACAATGATTTTCAAATGTTTGATAAGCAAAGAAAATGAAAAGCATTATGATGGACCGGTCCGGTCCATCCCTCTGAACCCGTGCGGGTCTACAGAAGGAGAAGGGGAGACGGGCGAACTCGGTGGGAGCAAGGAGAAGCCACGGTGGGCCAAGGAGAAGCCACGGTGGGCCCCGTAGGCCCACCTATGTGATCGTGGGCATCATGGGAGGGGGGGGAGGTACATGGTTGTTTTGGAGGAGGTTACATGGTTGTTAAGGAGGTTACATGGTTGTTTTGGAGGAGGTTACATGGTTGTTAAGGAGGTTATATGGTTGTTGAGGAGGTTACATGATTGTTGAGGAGGTTACATGGTTGTTGAGGAGGTTATATGGTTGTTTTGGAGGGGTAATTTAGGGAGGTGGGATGAATTTGGGATGGTATTAAGGGGGCAATTAGGGTTCAGTTTTTCTTCATGCTGATTGAAATTTTTCTATTGTTTTCTTTTTGCTTTTTCTAGAGTTTGTATGGGGAGACATTGTCCTTCTCGAATTGGACAAACGTATCTTATTTTCTCTTGAATTTTAATATAATTGTTTTTTTGTTCTTCATCCCATTTCTCTTGTGATTGCATTTCTTTGGATTTGGTGGATAAATTCTATTCATTTGAGGGGAATTAGAGCAAAACCGAAATTGAGAAACCCTAGGGTGTATCACATTACCAAACCAGTCCTTACTATTAAAAAATGATTTATTTCTTAGTTACATCCCATAATACAAGTAAGGTGCAAAGAGTAGTCCACCAGGGCATTTAAATTGATCTTTATAATAAAATGTCTCATATATTACATAACAATTAAATAAAAAATAAATTAAAAGGAACAAAAGAACAAAATATAGAAATAACCATCATATAGAATTATAGATAGCCAATCCCAATGATTTAAAGTGAGTTGGCTCGTTGTTCATTTTTTCAGCATATTTATAGTACTAACTGCCAATGTGAACATCAAGCAGTAGTTTTTGACATCTACGCTTGGGAACAACTGCTACTGTTTTCAAGGACAGTAAAAAAAAACTATTTCTGTATTACTAGAAAGCTCTAAAAACATAGAGCATTAATAGGAAAATTTCTTGAAAGAACAAATTTGATAAGGATTATACAAACATAGAGTATTATTAGAATGTTCCAAAGTCCAAAATCAAACATCTTTCCTTAGCCAAAAACACCAGTGCTCTAAATTGATGCAGCAGCCCTGTTGCTCACAGTATTTCAGATTTTTAAGTAGTTTAAAAGCAAAATAGCAATGACAGGCAAGCCAAAAAAAAAGATTAACATTTGATGTCATCCAAATATTACCTCATGCTCCCTCAACTTCTTGTCTAGCTGTGCAAAATCTCCCTCGGAGTCATACTGCCCTGAATGGTAAAAGCATCTTTCAAGGAATTGCTCCATTTTATCTTTACAATTTTCCCTGAAAACCAGACGAAATAAAACGTAAATTCAATATTCATAACAAAATTACTAGATGAAACCATAAAAGTTATTGCATTTAACCAAAAAGAAGGAATAAATCACCTCTTATCTATCCGGCAAGTGAGCGTCTTGCTGACCATGGTTCTTAACTCAGCATCAGCCATTTTACTCCTAGCATATCCAAAAATTGTAAAATGCTGTGCATCCATAGGGGCCACAAGCAGCACAAAGCTTAAATCATTGAAGAAAGTAGCTTGATGGAAATAACATTAATGAAAAACTGGAGCTTTCAAAACAACAAGATTACCTCTGGCAGGCAACCCTCGTAGAAGAGCGCAAACAACGCAGGAAAAATCTTCTTCTTCGCTAGATCACCAGAGGCCCCAACCACTGTGATACTAACCGTCGATTCCTTCCCACTAGTGCTATTAACTGCCTTAATTCTGGACTCATCTGAACATACAGTAGGTAATCCACCATTTTCAACATTCTTTAAAGCAGACTCTTTAGCAGTGGGCACCGGCGTTACAGCTGCCAATAGATTAAAATCGAACAGTGCATAAAACAAATTAAAATGGATAAAAACAATATGTTGACAAGCACAAAACGAATTTTAAAATACACGGCAAAACTGAATGAACCACAGGCAATTAAACATCATAGATAGATCGGCCCAAACACACGTAATAGAGCGGGAGAGACAAATACCGATAAAAATTTGAGCTAAGTAGAGAGACACTGAAAGGAGGATAAACGAACCTTCTTGCATGCAGATAGGGCCAAAGTTTTGATTTTTATCTCTTCGGGAAGAGACCCGCTTCGCCCATTCCCGCTTAGGGAGGGAAAACAGAAATGAAGGCCCCGAAGACGGCGTTGTTCGGTGAGTCCGTGGAACGCCAAAGCGGCAAGGAGAAGGGCATTTGGGGCAGGAAACAGCCATCAATTTCCGGCGGGGAGTAATTAGAGGTGAAAGAACAGAGAAGTGGGAGGGGAGGTTGGGGATTTAGACAATAGAAGGAGAGAGGTGAAGGGTAGAAGAGGGCTTCGATAGCATCGAAGGGCCTTTGAGAATATCGTAGCGGTAATTTCAGCACAGTGGGAAGCCGTTGGAGAAGCGACAGCGATCCAAGAAGGTTGGCCAATTTGTTGGGACGCAATTTGCAGAAGCTTGGATTTTCACAGAAAGCGGGGGTAATCACATGATATTAGGGTTTTGAATTAAAAAAAAAAATAACCTTTCTCTAAGTACTTAATAAGTCATTTTAAGGCAGCTTTTTTATACTTATTTTTATTTTTTTAGATCATTGTTATATTTTTATTCGTTTATTAATTTTCTTTATTTTTTTAAATTCATAGTATGTGTAATATTTCTCTTACCATCATTGTATAGGAAGAGATTATAATAGCAATGATAGCTAATAAATTAGACAACATTGAGAAAAGGCTAGTACTATCTTCCTTCAAATGGCTTTCATAATTAGAGGTCTAAACGAGTCGTGTTAGGTTGAATATCTGTCTAATCAAGTTAAGCTCAAATTTGGCTCATTTAAAAATTATTAGGCTCTAGCTTTCAATTTAAACAAGTGGCTCGACAATATTATGATTCGAGCCAGCTTGAGCTCGAGTATATGCTCGAGCTTAAACGACTCAATAAGCTTTTCTCAGAAACAAGCTAACGAGCTGAGTTTTAGGAGACTCGTCACTTACACCTCTATCCAGAGAAATTATCCTATGCGGAGACCGAATGCAGAACGTTATCCGGAGACCATCCAAAATGTGCTATGTCAGCGGTACCGAGCCGCGATACCGAGCTCTAACGAGCATTACCGAGCTGCGATACCGAGCACAAGGTGACGTGGCGTATTTTGGTTGGTCTTCGGACGACGTTCGTGGTCCGCACAAAATAATTTTTCCTCTTTCCATGAGCATCATGTAAGCAACATAGCTTGTGTTTATACGCTTACATATACACATGTGAAGCTCAAGAGAATATACAAGAAAGCACACATAAAACAAAAATATTAACACAACATATTCTCATATGAAGAAGATTAATAGCCTTGAATGAGCATTGTCATCTTATTATGTCACATTATATTTGATTAACATATTCACAGCTAACTAAAAAAATCACAAAAACAATCAAATAATTTACAAGCACAACATGTGAAGAAAAACATCACACATCTTCTAAAGTGACAAATGAAAATAATTAGATTGAAAGAAAGCAATTAATTGTAAACAACTAAAAACAAACAAATCAATTTTGAATCACATATTAAAAGTAACTATTGATTGTGGTTGATTGAGCTTTTGTCGTCATCTTTCTTACTGTTTTATTAAGTAGTTTTTGATTATATATATATTTTAAATTTTGTACTACAAAGTTTCTTCATAAAGCATTAAGAAAGTTATCCCAAACATTTGGGACGGCTTTTTTACTGCTTTTTAAAGTAGTTTTTTAATAAAAAAAATTATTTTTTTAACTAAAAAGCTGCTTTAAGAAGCAGCAAAAAAACCGTCCTAAATGAAATCTTAATCGATTTTATACTGCAAGATTCAAAATCTTTAATATGGATGAATATTAGCTGCTCAACGAAAAGCTTTCCGTGTTCTATAGAAAATCATATTTCTTCCCATAAGGATTGATAATAACTATTTGGTTTTGAAGTAAAGTTGGTGTGTAAAGAAATCCTTTTACATGAGTTTTGAAAATAATGGTGTTTGATTGGATGAAAAAAAAAATATTACAGAGTAAAGTGAAAGCAATGCAATGTTAAGCCGTTTTAGTTCATTTTTTAGGTTAAGAAACAAAGGTCAGTTTTGAGCGAAATTATTTTTACCACAAGCAACCTCTCTTGCGGCTGCCTGCCAGCCGCATCAACAATCACCAACCACCTCTGGTTGCCACTAGCCACCAACCGCCACCATCACTATCACACACCGTTGTCATCATATTTGAACTTTATATTACATTCATTTTTCTTCAAACCTATCCATTTATCTTACATCCTTTTCCTGCTCATCGAAAAGCTTTCCATGTTCTAATGAAAATCATATTTCTTCCCACAAGGATTGATAAAAAAAAAAAAATTGTGCATGCAAATGCAAGGCATTTGCCTTGGGGGCTATTTGGTTTTGAAGTAAAGTGAGTGTGTAAAGAAATCCTTTTACATGAGTTTTGCAAATAATGGTGTTTGATTGGATGAAAAAAAATATTACAGAGTAAAGTGAAAGCAATGCAATGTTAAGCCGTTTTAGTTCATTTTTTAGGTTAAGAAACAAAGGTCAGTTTTGAGCGAAATTATTTTTACCACAAGCAACCTCTCTTGCGGCTGCCTGCCAGCCATCAACAATCACCAACCACCTCTGGTTGCCACTAGCCACCAACCGCCACCATCACTATCACACACCGTTGTCATCATATTTGAACTTTATATTACATTCATTTTTCTTCAAACCTATCCATTTATCTTACATCCTTTTCATTACATTTTTTTTTAACCAAACAAACAACTCTTAATAAACAAAAAAAAAAAAAAAAACTTTGCGTAACTATATTATATGTTTTGAATTGTTCTGCACAAAAGGAAAAAAATACAATATAAAATCATGCAATTATTTAGAAAAAATTAAATAAAATTATTCCTAAGAATATTCATGAAAATATCAAAAAATTGAAATGAATTGATTTAATACACGTTCTTTTTATTTATCAAAACACAATATTATTTTACACGTATACACCATAAATTTACATACATAACATTTAAATCTCTATATTTATTTAAATGTCAACTATAGTGCATAAATTATATTTAAAATACATATATGAAAATGCGTTATACTTCAATTAAGCTAATATTAGTAGTGTTTTAATGTAATTTAAATCTTTGATTATTATATATGCCAATATATAGAAAATTTAGAAGTAATATGTAAATAGAAAAGATATTTTTGGTATTTATGTAAACCCCCCTATTAAATTTACAATTTATTGGCATAAGAAGTCAAAAAGTATTTATCATAATAAAATTGAAAGAGATGTGTTGCGTTAAGAACCTCATGAACAAAAAAGAAAGAATGACAAAAGAGTGATTCTCTCGTCTCAGCCTTTGAATTATTTTCTTGCACACAGAAAAAATTTGACTTTTCTTGTTATTTGATTCCTTAGGATCTTTCTTATATGAAAAAAAAAATAATTCATTGCCAATAGGATTAGCAGAAGATTATTTACCTTGGAATAGTTAAAGGGCATTGATCACTCTTTTGGCATTCTGAGATCACTTAATTTGGATTTTAGTTTTTGACTCCAAGGAATTTAAAGTAAAGATTAAGAATTGTTTGATAATTGAATCAATTTTTAACTTAGATTGAGCTCAAATCGAGCTGAGCCATAAGCCAAATTTTTAGCTTGATCCGATTTTGAGCTTGGACTAGATTGGATCAAGGCGGCTTGAGAATGTTAGCACTGGTAGCAAGAGATTGACATCTTGGCTTGTATAAAGAGATTCAACATACATACAATAAGAGAGGGATTGCAAGGCACCTAAGTTTTAAAAGAAAAACTAAAAAACGGTGAAAAAATGGGATTTGAGCCAATTGAAATAATATACTAGTATTTGCCATCGATTATAAATGATGCATCTTTTTGTGATTAAGAAATGTGTTGATACAATATATTAGATATAAACTATGTATAACAAATTTCATTGTGGAAGTTGGAGGAGCCTTGTGGCATGGGAGTGATCTTCAAGTGATTGTTTGTTGTTTGATTGGTCGGTCTCCTTTGAAGACGAGAGATTACAGATAAAAAAGTTCAACATAAATCTTGATTATGTTGAGAGTCACAATTAGTGTCGACAACATTAATTGATGTTGTTGACGAATGCATGTGACGAAGTTAGAGTAATCATAGAATTGTTGTTAAACAATGGTGTTTTGAGGATTGTAGTTGAGTGGTAGTGATTAGAAGATCCAAGTTGGGTGATTGTTGATAGAGGTTTGTATTCGAGCAATAGTAGATTGGGGACTATATATAGTTAGGCGATAGTGATATGAGGATCATAATAGGGTGATAATGTTCGGAAGGTTGTAATCAGACGATTGTGGTTGGAAGACCACACTCTGGGATAGTGGATGAAGGATAGTAATCTAGTAATAGTGGCAATGGTCGGAGGATCATAATGATTGTAACTCTCTTTAACGGTGGTTTTCTAACCATTGTAGTAGCTATATCCCAACATAATTTATTGTAGTGATTTTAAGCTTTGCAAACTAGAAGAAATAGACCATTACTATTATTGGTGATCATAATGGCTGCAAGTTCCAATATTTTTTTTTGTAACATGAGACTATATATATTGTTACATATACATTCTTTTGGCTCATGTCAAAGAGTTGGCATTCTAATTCCAAGGGGCTTAGTATTGATAACCCCACTCTTCTTTAATGGAAGAATCCTTCAATCATTGCTCTTACTAGTGTTGTAACGCCATATAATTAAATTTGAAAGAATTATCTATTCTATCTTCTTAATTAATAAATCAGAGATTTTATAAATCATTAAAATAATAAATATATATTCTGTAAAAATAACTAATAATTTATATACCTAAAAAATTTCATTATATTTATTCTCTCAAAATTAATATATAATAGTTAGGATATCAGTACAATTACTATTTAATCACAAACTCCTACCTATAGAAAATAAGAAAAAAAATTTTACCAATATAAAATTTCCTAATTTTTTGGTAACAAAAAGATAAATTTAATAGAAAAAATATAAAAAATTTCAAGTTATTTAAATAAAAAATATGATAATGGTTCCTTGTAGTGAGACGAGTAAAATTTTCAATAGGGTCGATAGGCAAAAATCACTCTACGTCCTCCAAACCTAAGTTTTTTTTTCTCTCTCCTCTTTCTCTCTCTTTTTTTTTATGTTTCTCTCTTAAGTCAAACAAATGAGATAAGAGCGATTAAGTAAAGTTTATAATGCTTTAAGATATTTTAATAAAATAATAATATAATTTAATCAATTTTTTAGTATAAAATTCATACAAATCCTTTTATAACTTTAAAAATTATAAAAAAAATATTCATGAAATAGCCTATTTTAT